CGGCACAATCCTCTTGAAGAGTTTTTCGAGGCTGATAGAAACCCATAGGATGAGAAGCCTGTAGTTTATGGTAAAGACAATGTCTTTATTTTTTGATTGCGAACAAGGTTATTTTTGCTTTTCTCGGTTCTGTATTCTTGTTGCTTCACTGCCAGCAATTGAGTTTCTATTCAGTTGTGTTTTCATTACATTGAAACCAAAAGTGTTTATATTATTTTGATGGTTTAAAACCATGTGAACAGGCGAACACCGAGTGTCTTGAGGTAGCTTTTTTCGGTTTTGACGCAGATCTTCTTTAGTTATCCTTATTGAGTGATTTCATTCATTTATTTATTTTTTCTTAGGTGGAGTTGGAAAGCCTCTGAACTGCGTCTCAAGTCATGGGATGACCTTCAGAATCTTTGGTATGTTCTACTGAAGGAAAAGAACATTTGTGTGTGTGTGTGTGTATTTGGATGGTTAAGTTTATTCATAGTTATTTAATCTCGTCAAATCTAAAAGTCAAGTCATTGAGTGCACCCATAGACACTAATATGAGAAGTTCTAAATATATGATTGCTTGCAGATAATAGCTTATGAATGCTCTTTGGCCTATCAGATAATACATATGTTAGGTTTTTGAAGTTGTTAATTTTGATTGAGTGGTCTGATCCACCTTAGCCACTGGAGCTCGGTTGTGACTGTGGGAAGTTGAAAGGGTAGCTTAAATAAATGTTCGATCTAAATCTTGCACTTCCATCTTTTAGCCGCAGGTCAACTTCGACTGAAATTGATGCCATTAAACTACTCTTGCCAAGAGGCTTGGAGAACAATTTGTCTTAATGCTGGGAAAATGAAAATACAACAGGAATCAGGATATATTTTTGCCCGCAATGTTACATCTTTTGGTTTGATTAACTTTTCAAAATCGCAGTTGGTGTCCAGTGTGGACGGCGTGCTCATTGGTGGCTAATTAGTTTGAGCTTGAATCTGTTGGCTCGTGAGGTCCTAGATCTGTTTAATATTAATATTAGCTTTGAAACAATTTACATGTGACATTACATAAGTGCAAGGAAAAAGAAAAGATAAATTATGGGATAACATAAAAATTCATACTTAAATCGCTTTTCTTCAAAATTTGTGCGGAAGTGAGCTAGGAATTCATTAATCCTTAACGAAGCGGAAACAAATTTAACAATGATGTGATGCTGATTGACAAAGACATGTTTGCATCTTACCTTTAGGATCATCACGTTTCAAATGTGAAAAAATCATACCTAAAATTTGCCATCTTTGTGAAGGTTCTAAAGTATTGTAAATTATTGTTATACTTCCTCCTTTCGTTTAGGGAATATGAATTCCCTTCACTCAAATGACAGCAATCAGTAGATGGCCAAGGATTATATATTCTCGAGCTTTCAACTGTCATCCAACATTCAACTCTTCTGCTAATTGGCTAATCACTGGTCGTCTGGTCGAAATTTCATTGAACAGGTACAAAAGACAATGTGCCAAATCAATCATGTGCCAACTGAGAGAGCTACTGACGATCCGAATCGTAGGAGGTCCGCTGAGATGAAAAGAATGATCAACGTCTTATAATGTTCGGGTCTAAAATCCAATTTGCGAGTGTGGGCATGAATGCATGTGAAATAACTATAATCTTGCATCTAGTATAGAGAATGCTAAGAAAACCCAATTTCCGAGTTCCCCACCATTGTTGGTCGGGCAATTTTCTTAACTCGGTTTAAAACCACAGCTTGAGTTGAAGTACCGGTTAAGGTTTTAAGTTTGATGGTTGAAGTTTCCAAACCAAGGGGTTAATGCAATATGTGTATTGATGGGGACTAGCATGATACTAACTTTAAGTCATCAATGTCAAAGTTTAGATCTCACCATTGATTGTTTGGGACCAATCTTTTGCATCTGCACATCCAAATTTTTGGTGCACTCTGCATTTTGGAATATTTAGAGTAAAATGGACAGATTTGTTGGATTTGACATGTGGTATGTAGCATATTTATTGGATTTATCATGTGCTATGGTGGCATTTTGAATGTGAGGATGAGATTAACATTCTCAAATGCCAATTAACAAACTAAAGTGTGTGCTTTAGATGATAATTAAGTTGACAAAAGGTAGTGGAAATTGAGGAGAGAAGATGAACTCGCATAGGTTTTTCTCGAGTTGGGAATAAACAAGCTTAGTGCCGAAATTAGAGAGCTATTCTAAAGTCGCTTTAATGCTCGAGAAAGACAATGTATGAGACTTGAGGAAGAAGATGAACTCCCATTGGTTTTTCTCAAGCGAAAAATCGAATGTTTTATCAACTGTGCACGAAAAT